TTATTAACACAATGAACTTCATTAGACATATTTTAATGCTATTCGTTTTAATAATCATTAATTTTATATATATATGTAAATTATATGAAAAGTATAAACTATATATATATATATAACTATATATATATATATATATATATATATATAATGAAATATAGAGTAAAATTTTAAAAAATAAAGAAAGCAATTTTTCTCAGTTAATTGGATGATTGAACGGTTTGTTGATTGAGTGTTTGATAAATTAGAAATTACACTACTGAGATCATTACTACTACTACTACTACTACGACTGCTACTACTACTAAAACTGCTACAGCTGCTGCTACTGCTGCTGCTACTACTACTACTACTACTACTACTACTACTACTACTACTACTTTTACTACTACTGCTACTACTACTACTACTACTGCTACTGCTACTACTTCTACTACTACTGCTACTACTACTACTACTACTACTACTACTACTACTACAGCTACTACTACAGCTACTACTACTACTACTACTACTACTACTTCTACTACTACTACTACTAGTACTACTACTACTACTGCGGCTACTGCATGGTCCACGACATTGTATGTAAATGCCGTGATTACGTCATAAGTATCAGCAAAAATGATTATCATTACATCAGTGACTGTGACGTCATCAACGATATCAAGGTCATCATCAATAACAACAACAACAACAACAACAATAATAATAACAACAACAATAGCAAGATCACAAACAAAAAACGAAAGCATCATCAACAGTAGCGGTACTAAGAGAATGATTGATCAGTTGCCATCCATTTTCGCTGATGACGTAATCAGCAATTATTGTGACGTCACAGCCACTGAAGTCACGTGACAATGGCCACAGTCATGTTGCGTTCTCATGTTGAAAAAGGCAAAAAAAAATAAAAATTTCTTTTTCGAAATTTATATTATATTAAGTTAGTATTATTAAAATTGTTATTATCATAATTATTAATAACACCGTTGCCTCGATGATGATGATCATCATGATGATAATGATGATGATGGTGATAATCATGATGATAACAACATCAACATAGCGCAATAAATAACGATAAAAATAACTTTGTATATGAAAGAAAAAGATCATTCTAGAACATTTCAGAACATTTTAAAATATTGGGGAAGAGACTGGAAGACACTATGACATCAAATAATTCTTGAATATGCTCTCTAATGTTATAATCGATGATCTAATTTTGTGTCATCGTACACACATGTACAAACGTACATACATACGTACATACACACACATGCATGCATACATACATGCATGCATGCATACATACATACATGCATACATGCATGCATACATACATACATACATACATACATACATACATACACAGACATTCATGCATACATACATACAAACATAAACATACATCTCGAAAATAAATACAAATGCCTGCATACATACAAAAGAATGAATATGACAATTCCTTCTTAGTATTATTAATGATCATTTCATCAATTGTATACCGAGCCTAAGAAGCGACGACGACGATGAGGACGACGACGATGATGATAATGATGACAAAAGTGATAATAACCTTGATGACATGTCGACCGACGATGATGATGATGATGACGACAAAAATGATGATGATGATTGATGATGATGATGATGAAAAATATAAGACTTTCTAACGATTTTTTTAGAAACGCATGTTTGGGTTTGTTTATTTGTTTGCATGTATAATATTTACATTGACAAACGATGACTACAATGATGATGATGATGACGATGACGATGATGAAAATGATGATGATGGTGAAAAGGATGATGACGAAGACTAGGCATATGAAAATGGTTATGATGAAAATGTATCAAAAAAATGGCAAGATGTTAAATCTATAAGAGTGGACAAATTAGCGAATGGACGTCTGAACGTGTATGCAAATGTAAAAACATCAATGCATACAAATATATACTATCAATTACGTATATACGAGTTTTTGAAAAACATACAATACATACATTTATACATAGATACATACATACGTACGTAAGTACATACATACGAACGTAAGTACATACATATACACACATACAATCACGTATAAATACATACATACATACTTATATATGTACGTAAATATTTGGGCAACAGATACATTAAACAAAAGTATTGTATGTATGTGTGCGAATGTAGTGTGTGTGTGTTTATGTATGCATGCATGTATGTATGTATGTATGTTTGTTTGTATATATGTATGAATGAATGTATATTTATATGTACTAATGTACGTATGTATTAGTATAAGCTTGAATGTATACAAGCAATTGGTATTGTTGAATGTTGCGGCATAATTTAAAAATGTTTCTTGGCCGCTGTGAATGTAATACAGAGTTTTTTTCCTCTGTATATTTGCATGTGGCATATATTATATTCATCCTGGCATATGTCACTGGTATGTGAGTGTGTGTGTATGTATCTATGTATGTTTGTATGTATGTATGTATGTATGTGTGTATGTATGTATGTATGTTTATTTGTTTGTATGTATGTATATATGTATGTTTCTCCTTTTTGTAAAAGTATACATATATGTATATATGAACGCGTTTTGTATGTATGTATGTATGTATGCATGTATGTCTGTATGTATGTTTGTATGCATGTATGTAATTATGATATATATATATACATATATATACATATACATATACATATATATATATATATATGCATATATATATATACATATACAAGCAGTTTTTTTCATCATCAAATGCTTGCGCTCGCCTTAATTGGAAAAATGGCGGGAGAAAGTGATCTGATGTATGGAAAAGTTAATCGATAAGAATATGAAAACAAAATTTTTATCTTTCTTTGGTCATTTTTTCGCGGGCTTTTAATTTTATTTATTTATATATGTTTCGGTAAAATAAAAAAAAACATTTCGTTGTCGTTGTTGTTGTTAGTATATTTGTATTCTTTGGTAGAAATAATACTCATGAAGAGCAGTCACGGTAATAATAATAATAATAATGATAATAATAATAATTTTTTGAAGCTTCGCACTTTCTATTCAATTGGCTAACAACTGTGTGCCAGTTCAAGTCAGAAATCAAACGACTGAACATTTATAAAAATTTAATATGGAAAAGTATAATATTAATAATAATAACAATAATAATAATATTATTATTAATGATAATATTAATAATAATAACAATAATAAATTTGTTAAAATAATTTAAACGCAATTTTTGGTGAAAGACAATAATGTAGAAGTTGCTAAGATGTATTTAAATATAAAAATGAAATATTCTTTGCAGGTTTTAGCGCCATTTCATCTGCTTTGCAATCATCATCATCATCATCATCACAGTCGTCTTCGTCATCATCATCATCATCAATCGAATCAACATCATCCTCATCATCATCATTAGCATCATCGAACACCATCAGTTTAATTTAACGTTATATCCAATAAAAATAATAATAAAATTATCGCTCACCCATCTGAACGATCATTTAATCATCATCATTTTCATCATCATCATCGTCTTATTATTATTATTATTATGTTATTATCTTTACGACAATCATCATCATCATCGTCAAAAGCAGCAGCATCATTACCATGGCCGTGAAAACATCGTAACCATGGCAACGACGTTTGTCTATGCGACGTTGGTTGCCGGTTGCCTGGCAGCGAGTCTGTCTACTGCAACCAGCCAACAGAACCACGGGCCCAGAATGTATAATAATAATTATAATCAATTTAATAATAATATTAATATTATTGGTAATAATAATAGTGATAACATCGAGAATAATAATAATAATAATAACTTCAAATTTGTATCGCCACTGACTATGTCATCGTCGTCTTTGTTTAGACAGTCGTTAACCCCATCATCATCGTCATCATCATCATCCTCTTCTTTACAATCATCATCATCATTATCTTCATCATCGTCATCATCACCGTCATCATCGGTTTATTCGCCATCCGTATCATTCCCAAAATCGAGATCATCATCAGTATTATCGACAACATCTTCAGCAGCAGCAGCGGCAGCAGTAGTAGCAGCATTGTCGTCGTCGTCGTCGTCATCTATGACGTCATCATCGCTGACTTCGTCATACCAGCAACAGACATTTGATGATTTTCAAAACGGTGGGTGATGATTGATGGCCATATTAAAATGGATAGACAACGGTGGTTATGATAACGATGGCGACGACGATGATGATAATGATGATGTCAGAGGCAATAATAATAATAATATAATTCAAATTGATCCTTTAAATTATGTCTATGAGAATGATGAGGACGATAATGCTATAAACATTACGTAAATATTATTACATCATTCATTCGCTCATTGAAGGAATTATTAAATAGGTTCTGCGTGCGTTTGAATCTGGTTAGATTGCATCTGCCCTTTTGTAGAAACTCTAATTGGCTGTCAAATTTGCAGTTCTTACCCGCATGTGTTTATGTAATTATAGTAAATATCATCATCGTCGTCGTCGTCCTTACAAACAACATCATCATCATCATTGACACAAACATCATTATCATCATCACAAACATCATCATCATCATTGACACAAACATACTCATCATTATCATAGGCACAAACATCATCATCACGAACATCATCACCACCACCATCATCATTACGAACACCATCACCATCATTATCGTCGTCGTCGTCAAAAAAATCATCACCATCAAATTTTAAATGAAAAATGAATTCTAACGCCCGACCAATGTTGCCACATCTGTCTCACAAAACCTGACATGAAAGATATCACATCAAGGATGCTGGAAGAAAATCAAAAAATAAATACCAAAACAAACAAACAAAAAACTATACATGCATATGCATGCATACATACATTCATACATACATACATACATACATACATACATACATACATACATACATACATACATACATACATACATACATACAATTTGAACCAATCAAATTTTGATAAAGCCAGGATAATGGCTGTAAAAAGTGAGTTGGGATCATCTTGGTTGAAGGCGGTCCCAAATTCCGCCTGTGGTACCAAGCTGGACGACTCTTGTGTTCGTGTCAGTTTGGGACTGAGACTCGGTTTAAGAGCCTTAAGAGCCGAAGACTTTAAAAATTCAAAATATGCGGCTCTTGCAGAAAGCAAAATTTTTCAGCCAGTCTGCATTGAGACCTTTGGTCCAACTGATGCTCAGACTCAGAGTTTTCTGAATGAACTCTGTAGCAGGGTTGTAGAAGTATCGGGTGACCCATTAGATAAGAGTTATGTAAAGCAATCCTTTTCTATTTTACTTCAAAAATATAATTCTTTCTGTATTTTGGATGGAGCGTTAAAATACCTGTTTGTGCGAAGCGTTTAACATAGATTAAAGCTGAACCCGGATATGATTATTACTTCCCTATAGTTCTAATCAATTATGGGTTCGTACATACATACATACATACATACATACATACATACATACATACATACATACATACATACATACATACATACATACATACATACATACATACATACATACATACATACATACATGCGGCTTCTTGTCTTCATGCGGCGACGACTTTTCCACCGCTTGTTTGTTGGCCATGTCCAGCGTTGCCAGCTGTGGGTGGTTGAAATCGTGGCCCAACACCTCTGTGGGCACCAGGCTTGACGACGAGTCTGTGAGATTTGCCATTGGCTTCAGACTTGGCCTGGTCATTCAAAATAAATACACGTGCCGATGTGGCGCTGGGGCGGACGAGTTTGGACACCACGGTTTGGTTTGTCGCCTGGGTGGGGGCCGTCAACTACTTCAATCAGCATTAAACGACTACATTTGTCGGCTCTTCTCCAAGGCTTCAATCCCAGTTCTCATGGACCATCCGGCATTTCTGCGTATGATGGTAGGCGCCCGGACGGATGCACACTAATACCTTGGAGAGCCGGTAGATGTTTGGCGTGNGATGTTACGGTCTCTGGCACCCTTGCCGAATGATATGTAAACCTGACAAG